CCCCAAAACCCCAAAACCCCAAAACCCCAAAACCCCAAATATCGGCATGATATTTGAAAAATAGTAATTAAATTTATTAGCTAACTCATTTTCAATGGGGAATGTCCTTCTCACTAAAGAAGAGATGGTTGAACATAACTTCACTGATTTTAAATACTACATGGAAGCTAAGAAGATTCGACCATATCTAAAGCTGCTGACCAATTGGTACTTCAAAGATGTCCTGAACATGTATTCAAGGTAAGGTTATCAGCATAAATATAGATTTGTTGAATACAGCAAAGGAGTGAACTACCAATACATTTCAACTAGAACCTTCCAAGAGTTGTCATGCCTCAAAAGTATCCTAGCCAACTGTGTATTCGAATACTTTCAGAAATACTCAGTTGGATCCAAGGTCGATTTTTATGAAATATTTTTCTGTATTGTCTGGACCTCATATGCAACCACTGAGCTGAAGGTAAAGCTCATTCTTCATGTCCTGAATGATACAGGAGGAGCGATCAATTTTGGACAGTTCAGGTTTATCTTCCTGAAATCAGTCAGAGGTTTCTGGGCTCTTATGAACTGTCCAAGATATACTGAAGAGTATCTTGAACTTTCAATCAAGAAAGCTTTTAAAATGGCTGATATTGACCAAAAGGATTCAGTAAACTTTCCTAATGCTGTCTTATGGATCAACATCAACTATGAGTTTACTCTTTTACTAAACAAGTTCACTAAGAATAATGATATGGAGAAGACCAGTAATAAAGTTTTACTTAGAATCTAGAATCTGAAATGGCAAAATTTAAACACTTTTCTCAAATAGAGTACAAAGAAATTGTGCCTGAAGTATTAAACACGAATATCTTCATGAAAAAGTTTAAAAGAGAACAACTCAAGCTTAAATAAGGAAAGAATTAGAGTACCTTCACTTAATTTTCTTTAGAAAAATTCAGAGAAAACATTCAAAAGGCTAAACCTCCACTTCCCGGAAAGTGAGACTTACAGTCTCAATTATAGAGAGATCTAAGAGAAGAAAGGCTAGCAGAAACACATCAGGTTCAGTTTCTAAGAAAAGACTTCTCAAAAGAGTATTTCCATACCTTATTTTAGAAAGCTTGCAAGCTTAACTCTTTTCAAAAGGAAAGTCATGATAGCTCAAAAGTTCAGAATGATTTCAAAACTGATCCTAAGAAATCAGGCCCTGAACTAGGTACTTTCTGAGTATAAAATCTAGACAAAGAATATGATAGAATAATGAGCCAATCCAATCGTTACACTAAAGGAGTAAGTTCTCCCTTACACATAGGTGTTCTTCCTGACTTGTGGGCAACCTTCGCTCAAATAATGTTCCTAAAAAGAGAAGAACTCAGAAGACAACTCTCCTCAAAGAGGCTCAAACAAAGAATGTATCAAATATTTTTAAATCCCACAATCAGAAATAAGGGCTTATCCCAAAATATGAATCCAAGCTTCACAAGAAATAGTACGAAATCTTTCCAGAGTCTGAAGGGAGGGTTGAATTCCAAGAACACGTCAAGTGATAGCTACTTGGATTTCCATAAGTTTAGCCTGAAGAATATAAAGACCAATACTGACCAAATAGATGATGAGCAACTAATACAAGAGTTTTACAAGACCATTGAGAGGAAGTCATGCAAGAGAGCAAAGGAAGGCTTTGATGTTAGTAAACTTTTCATGTCTGATAAGCCATTCATCAAACCCCATTTCACAAAAGGTAACTATCATTAGGCTGACTTTGGTAGATATGAAAAGGAACACTACAGATAGGTTCTTCTGAAACTCAACTAAGAGCTCGGTTAATCAGAAGATCATCCGCTTAAAAAGCAAGTCCCGGCAGATATCAAGCTCATTCCTTAACGCAGAGTAGTAAAGCCAGTGAATTTGTTTCTAAAATTTCAATCTGAAATATCTTCAGAGGGGTTTTGGGGTTTTGGGGTTTTGGGGTTTTGGGGTTTTGGGG